AAAAAAAAAAAAAAAAAAAAAAAAAAAAAAAAAAAAAAAGCCTCTTTCTTGACAATCGGAATATGTGGTCTGGAGCTCTAACCATTGAAACCCTGCTTTGGGGAGCCCCCAGCCCCATCGCTTTCCTTTGGACTGCCTAGATATGTGTCCTTGGAGGACATTTCTGCCCCCATTCCGCAGCCCTCGGTGGGCCTCTGCAACAAGAGCCCCCCGAATTCCTCTGCCCTGGCAAATAGTGAAGCCCTCAGCCCCAAAGTACTTCTCGGTTCACAATTAGCCCTTGTCAGCGATAGTTGGGCATCGGGGCTTGCCAAGGAGAGGCAGCCCTGCCTTCCCTCGCTTAGCTTGGTGAAATGCCCATAGCAGGTGGGGAGAGGGGGCTGAGGGTGCCCTCAGGGTCTGGATGGGGTCTTTGCACCCCCAGGACTAGCCTGGGGCAGGGGACAGGATGGTCCCCGCATCTCCCGGCTTCCATCTCCCAGAGAGGCCCTGGGCTGAGCGGGGTGTATCTCCCCACTGGGAAAATGTCTCCAGAGGGGGATCCTGGGGGTGGATTTGCACCCCGCGAAGGGTTCCCGATGTCCCAGGAGGGTGTAGGGTGCGCTCTGATCCCGCCGTGCGGCCGTCGCTGATGCGTCGCTGCGGCGGGCGGGAAGCGCCTGTGAAAACTTCCTGCCGGGTAAATACAAAAAGAGAGAGGAAAAATAAATGGAAGAGGGAGAGAAAAAAATAAATAAATAAAAGAGGAAAAAGTCTTGTCTAAAATGCAACTGCTTGAAATATCCCTTCAATTCTCTTTGCACTTCTAGCTGACCCGCTGCCCCGAGTTTATCAGCGCCTATAGCCGAGAAAATCTCAAGTGACCATGTTAATATTCCCCTGGTTGCTCACGTTTCGCCTTTCTTTCCCCTCCTCTCTCCCTTTCCTTTCTCCTTTTCTGTCTTATTGTTCCCTCTATTCCCCCTTCCCCCTTATTTTCCCTTTCCCTTCTTCCTTTCCTTGCTTTCCTGACCTGGAGAAACCACCGTCCGCGGCTCGCGATGAAATAACATCGCATATTCTTCACTGCTTTTAAAATTATTGTTATTATCATGATCATTATCAATCTATTTATTTGCTTATTGGTTTATTTCTTTATTTTTCTTGCAGACGTGGTCCCTCTGCAACCCGAAGTGAGCAGCTACCGCAGGGGACGGAAGAAAAGGGTCCCTTACACGAAAATTCAGCTGAAAGAGCTGGAAAAAGAGTACGCGGCCAGCAAGTTCATCACCAAAGAGAAGCGGAGGAGGATTTCTGCCACCACCAACTTGTCCGAGCGACAAGTGACCATCTGGTTCCAGAACCGGAGGGTCAAGGAGAAGAAGGTAGTGAGCAAATCCAAGACAGCGCATCTCCACGCAACTTGACAGCGGATGATCTGGGAAAAGAAAGGCGAAGCAAGCATGACAGAAGCAGAAATATTTATCCAGTAGTTGGTCTGAGCGTCTCATTGGACCTCTGCTGAGTGGAAATTAAAGACCGACATTAAAAAAACATCAACAACAGAATAGGCATCCCCACCCACACTAACACCCAACGCATCTTTGATTTATCCCTCTGCCCCACTCGCTGACTGTGAACACCCGCTCCTTGCGCTGAGAAAGCCATTGGTGAGGTCCAGCTGTATGTATTTTTTTAACAAATGATAAGCTAAAAGTGTAGTTGTGTAAAGAGGAGATGAACTCCCCAATGTCACCTTGTCACACGGTGTGGTCCGGTCCCCTCTGCGGGGATGAGTCTTGCGTCCTTTGGCTCTTTCACACTCCGATGTAAAGTGTATGGAGAGCAAAGTTGCATCAGCTTTGTCTTCTTTCATCGCTAGGGACTGGGGAAAAAAAAAAAAAAAGGCCCCAGATAAAGTTGCTATAGTGGGAAGAAAATAATTCTTCCGTATTAAACTGACAAGCACTAATTTAGGGCACAAGCGAAAATGGGCTCCTCCTGCCACACTATTTTTGGGCCTCTTCTCACGAGGGTTTATCCTCCTCTGCCGTAAAACTGGAATGTCTGTTCTCCACTGGCAACGTGTTTGGCAAGTTGGGTTTTATTTGGCTCTTTTTCCTCCTTCCTCTAAACCAACTAATTCTCTGCAGTGTTCTCTGGCTATGTAAAAGCATTTTTTTAATGTCTTGTGTATGTATATAATATTGTGGTGTCCAGATGAGATGATGAGATGTACCGAAGGCAAGATTACATTTCCGAAAAATAAACAGCATTTTTTTCCGGAAAAAGGGCGGCCGCCAGATGCTTGTGCCCTGCTTTGCCCTTTTAAGCAGCGCAGCCTTTTCCCCTTTTAATCTCCTGTCCTGAGACCCCCTTGGGGACGGCTGCTCTTTGCCCAGGGAAGGTGAAACCAGCCCAAGTGACAACCACAGCCCAGCAGGTCGACCTGAACCCTGAAGATCTGGGGAGAAAAGGGCAGGGAAAAAAGGGGGAAAAAAAAAGGGGGGGGAGCCCCCAATCCTCCCAGATGTGGGGCGCGGATGTGTGTGCCCCAAGGCGGGCTGCTTCCCACTGTAAGTAGAAAGGAGAGAAAAAGATAAATGCACAGAGAATGAGCCAAGCCATGAAACTTCTTATTTAGTTAGTTTATTTGTTTATTTCTTCTTCTTTTTTTTTTTCCTTTTTTTTTTTTTTCTATCCCTATTTCCCCCAACGCCGCAATTAGACACCCGAGCAGGGTGAAAACGTGATGACTTTCCGGAGACGCTTTTAATCTCTTTAAATCCGCCGGGTGCGAGAGGGTTCTGCCTCAAACGATGCTTTTTTTTTTTTTTTTTTTTTTTTTTTTTTTTTTTTTCTTTTGTTACATCTGTTTGACTCAGCGCCGGCCTCAGATCTAAATCTCGCAACCTCCGCGCCCGTGGAGGGAGCGGATTGCATCCAAAGACTCATTGCAATCGGCCTTAATATCTTTTAGATGGAATCAGCTCATTAAATAATCCAAAAGGAATCAGCTCATTAAATAATCCGAAAAGAATATAATAATAAAAACTGGGGGAGTGGCTTTTAAAAATTACAGAATTTAAAAATTTATAATATTATTGGTGCTGAAATGTGCATTAAGTGCTCGCCGACATACACATATGTATATACGAGGCAGGAGGAGAAGCAGCCGGAGCAAGCAATATGAAGTCACCCGGGGAAAAATTAGCATGGGTGTCCGCATAAACAATTGTATAGATATAGTAGTTCAAGTTCATGTGCAGAAGTGCGCTTGTGTGCATATATATAGAGAGACGTACAAATATATATACACCATATGTATATATACATATATATATACTCACAAGCGTATAACCGTGTATGTCCGTTGCTTTAAATGATCTGGGCATCGCTATACATACAAGTCTAGACGTAAGCCAAATATATGTGTGTGAAGCATAGCGGCGTGCATGTAATTTACATTAGTGTTTATTAAACTGCTCTATATATCTTTGTGTGTATGTAAGTATGTTACAGATAACATGCAGTATCTTAAAACCGGTGCTTTATAACTATATATTTACATTGGCATACATAAGCGCAGCAAGCTATATCATTATATGAAGTGATGTGCAGCTCTCATGCATGTTCTTCTATAGGGGTGTGTTTTTAAAGGTGTGTGTGCGCAGAGGGGATATATAACTTTAGAAACTATATATAATAACATTGGAGGGTTATATTCAGAGCAGAGTGTGGTTATATACGGAGGATGAGTATAGTTATGTACAGAAAATGTGTAGACATTATGCATCTCCGTGCACCTTAGAGCCTATATTGCAAAAGCAAAAGTCGGGAAAGTCCCATGGGTTTGGAAATTTCCGTCAGTGATTCCCAAATTCCCGAAAGGTGGGAGAGAGCTGCGGCCGGCGGCTTATTTTGCGCGGCTCCGTGTTCCGGCCTGGATCCCCCTGCTTCTACCATCCCTCCTTGCCTGTGGGTGCCCTTGAAAAGGGGGAATTTTTTCCCGTCTGTGCATTTAGCAATTCCTATTTGGATTTGGGATCTGATGCGCAGAAGCGCTTGGAGAAGATTGATTTGATACAAATGAAATTTTATTTGTTTTAGAGGAGAATAACTTATCCGGTTAGGAAAAAAAAAAAAAAAAAAGCAGGAATTCGATTTCCTTTTAATATACTGAGCTAGTAAAGCTAGTAAATTTTGCAATACCTTGAGAAAGCCATTCTCACTTTCACAGCAGAAGAAGGGTATTTTTCAATGGGAAGATGACTTAAAATAAAATAATAAATAAATAAAAAGGAAATTTGCGCTGCACTGTGTCGGGCAGCGAAAATTCACAGCCGCAGCACGATAGCCGAGAAAATATGTGTTTTCGATTTAAAAAAAAAAAAAAAAAAAAAAAAAAAAAAAAAAAAAAGAGCTCACCCTAGTGCTGTGTGTGCAGACATTGAAATTCATAAATGCAGCTCCAGACAAGCCCAAATTCGACATCCCGACAGCGAATATATTGCTCGGTGCGTGTCTATCTCTGTACTCTCCAAGGCTTCCTTATTCTACCTGATTATGTGATACGTCCTGAAGGGAAAAAAAATATGAGGAAAACAGGATTATTATACTCAGATTATTGAA